GGAGCATACAATTTCTGTATTTCACTCAACTACTCAAGAGACTGAAATCTAAGGTTGAGATTCAAAGTCAGCACAGATGGGAAAGTCCTGAGACTATGCATATAAATAAGAACTATGCCATTCGTAATGATCAGGATCAGGGAGGTATAAAGAGAGAGATCGAGCAAGTCTCATTAGACAAGATGAGAAAAGCCCTAGTGGAAGCAAGGACCACTACCAGATGGACATCTAGAGACATGGCTCCAGGAAGGAGCAGCAGAAAAAGGCCAGGAGGAACACTGCTGGCCACTGTGTCTGGAACATGGGGAAGTCGGAACGCCACTTCTGCCTGGTCAGCTCTCCTTCACTCACCAGACTGACTCTACATTTAATGGAGTGCTGCAAGTCAATTTTTATGCTAGTCTCATTTTCAAAGTCTTTGCCACTGCAATGGTAAATGGTCAGAAGTCTGTTTACTTTCAGGCTCTCTTTGCTCTCTCTCTGCCAATCATGTCTAACTTTCCCTATCTCTCTCTCTCTTTTTGTTTTTGATTGGTCGTGGGGCTTGAACTCTGGGCCCGGGCACTGTCCATGCGCTCTTCAGCTCAAGTCAAGCGCTGTACCGCTTGAGCCACAGTGCCACTTCCTCCCTATCTCTCTCTTTCTCTTTTGTACAACATTTTGGCTTGTGCCCTGAAGAGTGCGACACAGGCTGGGTCCCAGGAACCCCCCCTCTAGATTCCTTCTCAAAGCCTAGCCATTCTAGGTTTGAGAATTGTCAGTTTCCATTTGTTCAGGTTTCCGTCAATGGCTCATGAGACTTCTCCAGACTTCGTCCAAGAGACTTGCCTCCTCCAGACTTCATCGAAGGACTCAACAGCTTCCTGCTGCGTTCTCCCAGAGTGGACCACATCTCAGCCTTTTACCCCTACTGTCGATGCCCCTTGCCAGCAGGAAGTAGCCAGAGAGAATCTTTGCCCTTTTTCATAGTTATCAAAAGGCTGGAATGTAAGGTCCATTCCTGGATGGTGAACAGACCTTGCCCAGTACCTGCGTTACCTAGGCAACTGGGACACCTGGAAGAGGTCACATCTGCATCCTCTGAGGTCACATCTGAATCTGATGTGGCCATACCTTTCTCCCACCTGGTCCCATCTCTTACCTGGTCCCACTTCCCTTTACCTGGACACACCTTTCTCTGCCCCTACCCTATATAAGGCCTAACCCGGGGCCAGACCCTGTCTTTTGCCAGCCGCGTGGAGTGCCAACCTTGCCTGGTCCCAGCAGGTCTACTGAATACCATGAGTGTGGTGCTGTTCTTACTCAGCTACCTCTTTTTAAAAACCTAACCCTCACATTCTCTCTTGCCTTTCACAGTCCTCTTCTGACTTCAAATGCTTCCTTTGCCTCCTAGGAATGAGAGAATTCAAATAAACCCTGCAAAGTTTAGCTGGCCCTGCCACTCTACCTTCTGGTGGCTCCTTTCCCTAAAACTCCAGGCATGTGGGAGCTCCTAGAACACTTGGAGCCTCACCCCCCCTCCAGGGCCTTTGCTCTATGCCTGGAATGCTCTTCCAGAGTTCCTGGCATAGCTAGCTTGCTCTCACTAGCAGGACACCTGTAAACCCACCTTTTAGAGCGGCCTTCCTTCATGTCCCTCCCTCAGTACATCCCCAACCCCTTCCCCAGTATTTCTGATCAAAAGTACAAATGGCCAAACTCCCTTTTTTATGCCTGAAACCTCTTCATACTGCATTTAACAAGGACTTACCTATCTTAGGAAAATAGCGCATTGTGACCCTTTTAAAATGACTGTGGTTTATAATTTCTTTGCCCCTCCCCCATCCAGTGGTTTAAGGAAGTGGGGTTTGGGTAGGTGTGGGCACAGAGTCAGAGCCCTTGGGATTGGAATAAAGAGGCTTGCAGTGGGTGTGGTGCCAAGGTAACCCCAGCACTTGTAAGGCTCAGCAGGTCACTGGTTCAGGGCCAGATTGGGTTATGCAGTAAGACTGTACCTACAAAACAACAGCAACCATCACTCCCCAACACACACACACACACACACACACACATGCACACCTGCATCGCACACATGCCTGCATGCATGTGCTGGAGCTGGGTATTGGTGGCTCATTCCTGTCACTCAAGCTACTCAAGAGACTGAAATCTAAGGTTGCGATTCAAAGTCAGCACAGATGGGAAAGTCCTGAGACTCTTATCTCCAATTAACCACCAAAAAGCTAAAAGTGAAAGTGTTGCACAAGTCATAGAGTGCCAACCTTGAACAAAAAAAGCTAGACAACGACCAGGTCCTAAGTTCAAGCCCCAATACCAGCATCCTCCAATCCCACCCACCCACGCCACTCCCCTCAAAAAAATACCAAAAAACCCCTACAAAACCAGAAAGCAGACCTTCACCTTCGCCTTTATCTTAGCCTTTTCATTCTCTAGAACCTTGAGAAATAAACTTCTGTCGTGGTGTTTTGTGACAGAAGTCTTAGCAAGGACACTATTGCTCCCACAAAGAATCCTGCCACGAAAGGAAATTTCATATTATGGTGACAAATGGAATATGTCTATAATGTTTTCTGCATTCCTTTAGAGAAATTTGTTCTCACACACACACACAAACTGTTTAAAAATTGCAGGAGCCTGCAACTTAATGTCTGATTTTAAAAACCAGAGTAAAATTGTCAATAAAATCTCAACTGTTTATGGAATAGATGCCTGTGACATTCACATGTGCTCTAGAGGGGTTATAAGACCGCTTCAAGCAATGCAATCCATACAATAAAGTTTGTGCCCAGTTAAGGGTGAAGCCCTCCAAACACTGAGAGTTTTAGATCTGCTCAGATATATGAATCTCACAATGGCTAGGGAAAGAAAAGTAGATGATTATCTTTCACCACAGCAAATTTACTTTAGATTTGCTACATTCTTGGGCTGGGGACGTGCTCAATGCTAGCATACATGCCTAGCAAGCTTGAGGCCATGAGTTCATATCCTAGTACTATAATTTTTTTTTTTTAAATTATCTATGGTCCTTATTACCTAAATTCCACATCACCACTTAGTCTAATATACAATTCCAAAGTAAAATCTGTATGCTGATATGGCAATCATCACTTCATTACTTTTTTTTCCTCTTCTCAACTATCAAAATCTTAGTCACCTTTATAAAAAAACTTAGCAAACCAAAGTTTTATCTTCAGCATCTCAATCACAAGTCCTTGGAGAAATTTTTCTCAACTACCCAGCTATTTGTTGGCCTTATGTGGTGTTTTGGCGCCCTCTAATGTAAAATACTGTTCTAACACTTGTACATAGCAAAAGTCCTTTTAATATTTGTAATAAGGGGAAAAAAGAGCCTAGTTTTTCACTGAAACACGACTTTATTTTTTTTCCCCTGATTTCCAGAAACCCTAATGAAATGTGGATATAATTTATGAAGGCACAGGACATTTGAAATTCACAGAGAATCACTGTGGTTCGAAACTCAATAAGGGTATTCATAAAAGTGCATTTGCTGTTTCATAATGCTCTAATATCCCTTCTACAATTTGCTCTGTAAATAGACACGAACATGTACAGAACACCGCACGTGCAAGACTGTCCAGCACACCACTGGAAACAACATAAATATCAGTCAGCAAACAACATAAATATCAGTCAGCAAGGGTAGTTACTTAAAATATACTAGATGTACCCAACAGAGTGTCATGCAGTGGTAACAGAAATAACTTTTTGTTTTTTGTCGGTCATGGGGCTTGAACTCTGGGCCTGGGCGCTGTCCCTCAGCTAAGCACTCTACCACTTGAGCCACAGGGCCACTTCCGGCTTTCTGTGGGCTAACTGGAGATAAGGGTCTCATGGACTTTCCTGCCTGGGGCTGGCTTTGAACCACGATCCTCAGATCTCAGCCTCCTAAGAAGCTGGGATTACAGGCGTGAGCCACCGGCGCCCGGCTAGTCCCAGGGAAATTTCATTCCACTCAACAGACTTCAAAACTTCAAAGGATTTGACGCCACCCGGTATTAGGAAGTAGGTAGGGCAAGAAGAAGTGTCATCATGCAGCTTGGCAATGTGCAGGGAAGCGTGAAGCCACTCATCCGGGTCTCGCAGGCTGTTATCCCTGCGTGCATGGCCCCCAGAAACCTTCACACCTATAAATACATGTACTAGAGTCCTTGTGGGGCTGGGACTGTGGCTCAGTGGTAGGGTGCTTGCCTAGCACGCTTGAGGCCCTGGGTTCGATTCCTTGGTACTACATAAACAGAAAAAAAAATTAAATTAAAAATTGTTTATTAAACAAAATATAAATACAAAATGTCATTTAAAAAGTAAAAAATACATAAAACAAACGTAGCAAAAACGTAATAAAAACAAAGCTACCTGTTAACAGAGTTCAGTGTATTTCCTCACATGGCCAAACGAGGCCAGCCCCCCCCTCCCTTCCCCAGCACCCCCAGGAGGCGAGGGGGCGGGCACTGAAGGAGCTGAAGACCCCCGGATGGAGGAGTCGAGGAGGGAGCCGGAGCGTGTGGGAGCGTACTGGTCACCAGGCAGGAGAGGGCTTTCTCCCGACCAAGCCGGGACCCGAACTCGCGTCAGGGTGAGCCACACCCAGTGTGGCCGTTGCCCCACGTTAGCGCTCAGTTACCCGGGGAGTTCGTTTTTCTTGGCCGCAAGCAGTGCTGACCTACTGGGTGGTCCCCACTCCCTCTCAACACCCACCGGCCCCGGGGTGATCCCGGCAGTCCCAGAGCGAGCCAAGTGCTGCTCTTCCTACCCCGGCCCGCGCGAACTCTCGAGACTACAAGTCCCAGCATGCAACACTCAAGCGACAAAAGGTCTGCCCAATCACTAAAAGGACCAACAGGCAACGCTCTCCAAAGAGGGCGGAGCCCCGTGCGAGGGCAGCACCGTTGCCGTGTCTCCTAGGCAACCCCAATGCCAAGGCAAAATGCACTTCCGCTTCCGCCTCTAAACCCTATGGCTGAGCGTCTACGCAGCTCCGTCGTCGTGGTGACGTCGTTCGCCCGCGACCGAGCGAGCCCAGCGGTTCCGTGTGGCGGCGCGCGTCTCTCCGGCGGGAAACCTGAGAGTGGCTGCTCCACGCCGGTAGTTTCTGGTCTGAGAGGGAGAGGCAGGGCGGCGAGATGACCGACCGCTACACCATCCACAGCCAGCTGGAGCATCTGCAGTCCAAGTACATCGGCACGGGCCACGCCGACACCACCAAGTGGGAATGGCTGGTGAACCAGCACCGCGACTCCTACTGCTCCTACATGGGCCACTTCGACCTTCTCAACTACTTCGCCATCGCCGAGAACGAGAGCAAGGCCCGAGTCCGCTTCAACTTGATGGAGAAGATGCTGCAGCCCTGCGGGCCGCCGGCCGACAAGCCCGAGGAGAACTGAGGCCCGGCCCGGCCGTGGCCGCCGCCGCGCGCGCCTCTCCCCGCCGCCTCCAGCCGCCCTCCTCCAGCCGCCCGCCCCGTCCCGCCGCCCGCGGACCGGGTCTCCGGTGCCGACCTGCTCGTGGGGACTCCGGAGCTCGACGTCCAGAGAGCCTCGGCCTCCCGGAGGGCTGCGTGCGCGGCGCCCTCAGCCCTAGCCGGCAAGACTTCGGGAAGACGGCACGGGAGAGGGGGGACTTGGAGGCTTTGCTTTGGGTTACTTGGTTATCGCTGTTTTATCCATAAAGTCTAGAAATTCTGCAATTCCTTACTGTAAACTTGTTTGTTTTGGTGGGCGGATTTCCGGGATTGCTCTGGGGAACCAAGATTTCCCGAGAGTACCGGTGAGGAATGGAGGTGGGGAGGCGCTGTGTGACTCAGGCCCAGCGTCCTTTGTAAGGCCCTCACATCCACAGTGCACACTTGTGTATTATTCCTTACCCCGAGTCCTTCCTTCCCCACCTCCAGAGCGTTTATTTTGGGACTATAGAGCTTTTTAAGTGTTGAGGTTTTCAGCTTCAAGCACCTTTTCCTCCCAATACAGGTCTGCTGTCATTGACCTCACCTCTCTCCTGAATTTGGCCATGTTTTCAAAGGTGACAAGCTGAGAAATGAGTTGTTCGTTCAATATGCAGCAAATGTTCTTAAGTAGCAGGCGTTTCCCCAGGCTTTTAAAGGCTTACCTTATACTAGTTAGGGGAAAGAGGGACCAAACAAATTGTCGATGTATAAGGTGTTGGGAGATAACAGCAGCTGGTAGGACCACAGTGGTGTTTGTATTATTAAACTGATGACACTTGAGCAAAGACTTAGGGAATTGAGAGAGATTCTTTCCCATGTAAGAGAAACAGCCAGTGCACTGGTCTTAAAGCTGGGAGAGTGATTGGTTTCTGGGGAGTGAGGGAAAGGCAAAGAGGCAAATATGGCTGGAGAGAATGAGCAAGAGGAGGAACATAGACAAGAAGAGGAGGAGGAAGGAACAGAAGAGTCTTGTAGGTGAGGAAAGAACCATTGGAAGATTTTTTTTTTTGTCGTGGGGCTTGAACTCTGGGCCTGGGCGTTGTCCCTCAGCTCTTCAGCTCAAGGCTACCCCTCTACCATTGGAGCCACAGAGCCACTTGCGGCTTTTTCTGTTTATGTGGTGCTGAGGAATCGAACCCAGGGCCTCATGCATGTGAGGCAAGCACTCTACCACTGAGCCACCTTCCCAGCCCATTGGAAGATTTTTAAGTATATCAGTGACATGGTCTTTTAATGTATCCTTGGAAAGTGACTGTCAATTTGGCCTTGGGACTCTTGTACTATAAAATTATTGGTGACTAAATCATTTTTTGAAGGTTATAGTTACTGATATCACAAATTACAACAAATTTTTTTTTAAATACTGACAATTTAAAAAGTAATAAAATATTGCATAATGACACTTATATTGTCTAGCTAGTTGCCTGTGGATCATACCTGTCATCCTAGACAATCAGATGTTATATTGTGGTCTGAAGCCCACCAAAGCAGAAAAGTCCATAAGACTCCATCTCCAAAACAGCTAACAAAAAGCCAGGCTGGAGTTGTGGCCCAACTGGTAGAGTACCAGCTGTGACCAAATAGGCCAAGTGAGTTCAAAGCCCAGTACCAGCAAAAAAAAAAAAAAAGGAATGGTAATGATTTCTCCAGCACATACTTAAGGAAAAGAATTTCAGTAGTGTGGATAGAACCCAGACACATGCTAATCGACAATCCTTTATCACTTGAGCCAGGCCTCTAGAGAGCATGGCCTTTGTTTTTTTTGGTAGGTCATGGGGCTTGAACTCAGCTTGGGCGGTGACCCTGAGCTCTTTAGCTCAAGGATAGTGCTCTACCACTTTGAGCCACAGCACCACTTCCAGTTTTCTGGTGGTAAATTGGAGGTGAGACTCATGGACTTTCTTGCCTGGGCTGGCTTTGAATCGAGATCCTTAGATCTCAGCCTCCTGAGTAGCTAGGATTATAGGTGTGAGCCACCAGCACTCAGCAAGAATGGCTTTTTAAAATACAATTTTGCTCATCAGCAGCTGGCTTAAGAGATGACGCGATTTTCATGTCTGCATTCAAACTTGAGATATGAAGTTTTAGTTGAAAAATTGCAGTGTTTGGTTTGGTTTTTTTGGTGGTTCTAGGGATGAAACTCAAGATCTGTGTATGCTTGACAAGTGCTCTATTATGAACCTCATCCTCAGTCCTCCAAATACACTTCATAAACTAGTTTGGGAAAAATATTTAATTTTTTTTCACATAGTTGCACATATTCTCTGTCAATACAAGGGTGGAAACTGCTTTTCTGGCCAAGAGCAACTTTGATATTTCTAACACCATTTGTAAGCCAAATAAAATGATCAGTAACAGGAAGCCTTCCTTGCACAGCTTTCAAGAACCCTGTGAGAAGCACGTGTCTCTCATGTACCCGGTCTTACATGGCTTGCCAGCCAAGATAGTTCCCACTCTTGTTATAAAAGTAATCCATGGGGCTGGGAAGGTGGCTCAGTGGTAGAGTGCTTGCCTCGCCTGCGTGAGGCCCTGGGTTCAATTCCTCAGCACCACATAAGCAGAAAAAGCCAGAAGTGGCGCTGTGGCTCAAGTGGTAGAGCGCTAGCCTTGAGCTGAAGAGCTGAGGGACAGTGCCCAGGCCCAGAGTTCAAGCCCCACGACCGACAAAAAAAAAAAAAGTAATCCTTGGTAGGTCGTGTGTGTGTGAGTGCACACACGTGTCGGTGTTCAAGTTTCAACTTGGTCTTGGTGCTGTCCCTTAGCTTGAACTCAGTACCTGTGCTCTGTTCCTGAGCCTCTGTGCTCAGGGCTAGCGCTCTACCACTTGAGCCACAGTGTCACTTCCAGGTTTTTCTGAGTTTATTGGAGATAAGAGTCTCAGGGACTTTGCTGCCCAGGTTTGCTTCAAACCATGATCTTCAGATCTCAGCCTCCTGAGTAGCTAGGATTACAGGTGTGAGCCACTGACGCCTGACCATGTAGTTTCTTAAAGACGAGTTACTGAAACTAGATTAATGAACTTTGCATTAAAGTTTGTACATCTGTTGTCAACTTTGAATATATCTTTTACCCAGAATTGGCTTAGAACATTATGTATCAGGTTATTTGGAATGTATTAGTTCACAAGCCTTCCAAATATTAACACATGGGCATTTATTTAAAAAATCACTTTTTTTCTACAAGTTTTAAGTGTTTGCATGGGTAGTTGTAGTGTGTCATCTTTCTTGAAGTGATGGACCTGCTTGGTTTATTTTCAAGAATATATCTATTAGGCTGGGGGTATAGCTTGTTGGTACAATACTTGCTTAACATATGCAAGGTCCTGGGTGTGATCCCCAACACTGGAAAAACAAGATAACAAAAACAAAAACCGAATGTTTGTCAAATACCCAAGTCTGAGAAATAGGGCTGGATTGTGGTTCAGTGGTAAAGCCTGAGTGCTTGTCTAGCTTGCTGGAAGCCCTGGGTTTAATCCCCAGCACTATGAAAAGAAAGAAAAACAAAATACATTTTCATTCTTACACGTAGAAAAAGATATGGCTGGGGCTGGGAAGGTGGCTCAGTGGTAGAGCGCTTACCTTGCATGCATGAGGTCCTGGGTTCCATTCCTCTGCACCACATAAGCAAAAAAGAAAAAAACCCAGAAGTGGCGCTGTGGCTCAAGTGGTAGAGTGCTAGCCTTGAGCTGAGGGACAGCGCCCAAGCCCAGAGTTCGGGCCCCACAACCAGACCCCCCAGAAAAAGATATGGCTTAGAAAAGCAGCAGTTTAGTTTGCAATTCAATAATGCCTTCCTGAGGAAGCGCAGGATCATGCTTTGTAGGCAACAGAAATGCTTTCTACATCCTACCATTTTCCTTATCCACAATGTCTTTGAGGACTAAGATTGCATATAGCAAAGTTTACTGCTTCATCAAGGAAGCTGTTCAGTGAAATTGGGATATTTTTGGCTTTCTTCTTATTCAGAAGACATGGCAGATTATGATTACTAGTATGTTTTTGTGCCTTCATTTATGCTAAGTGCTAGTAGAGTTACCAGTGTTTTGTACCATCTATGAGCAAGTTACCTATGAAAAGGGCAAGTAGAATCAGTATAATTATGAAAACAGTTTAACTTCAGATTCCTGAAATTCCTTCTCCACACTTTTTGCTTGAAAGAATAATAGTATATTATAGTTATTTATACTTGAGTATTTGGAAGATTTTTCTCAAAAACAAACAGAATGAGATGGGCCATGACTTCAAGAAAGCTATTAAACTACTGTTTCAGAAGATTCTGGGTGCTGTGTTGGGAGTAAGATATATAATGTAAAAGAGTAGGTATTGTAATTGAAAAATGTCAAACAGGAATGCTTTTTCCCTCATCCTTACAGAACTTGATAAAGATGGGCAATTTGTTTCAAAAGTATACAGATTGCTACACAGTGAGCCCCTGTTCCTAATTAGGCTAAGAGAGAAGACAACTTGTACTAGAAAGGAAGGAAAGGCCTGGATTTATTTTATGGGGTGGCGTATGTGGTGAATTGAGTAATGTGTACCTTAAGAATTACAAAAATTAAGTCGTTTCAGAGTTGTACAAACTGGGATTAAGATTACACAGAGCAAAGGTTTTGCTCTGTTTATTAACGGATGTATCTAGAACAGTGCCTGGTACATCCCAGATGCTCAATAAATGTGAGTATGGAACATAGGAAGATAGGACTTGGTTCAGATAATACATTGCTAATCCGTGTGCGTAGGCAGTGTGCAATTTCACCAAAGAAAAGAGATAAAAGAAAACATGCTTCTTATTGCAGTGATAATAGTTATGAAAACAACAGAGATAATGGCTATCATTCGAGAGTTTTTATGGCGTGCCAAACATTTTACATTTTATTTGATGTCATCTTTTGGTGGTATTAGCTTCATTTTTTAGGTCAAACAGATTCATAACCATTAGTGTGCCCAAAGTCACACAACTTGTCAGCTAAGTTTGGATTTGAACCAAGTTGTAGAGTCCAAATTACAACCACACTATTGCTCCAAGTAAGTCTAGTACATAAAAATATTAGAATGATTTTACATCCATTCTCTCAGATGTAAAAGCACCAACGGTTTCACATCTGTAATCCTAGCTACTCAGATGGCTAAGATCTAAGAATCATTTTTTGGTTTGATTCAGAATAATATCTGTATCCAACACAAGGGGGCAGCAAATGATACTCAGAAATTACTCTTAGAAAAAACCAACTGTGACCCTGTAGATT